AATTGATATGTATTGTTTTATTATTATTATTATTATTATTATTATTATTATTATTATTATTATTATTAAACTACAGGATGAAAAAATAGGGCCGCTAATGTCAGGTGATACTTCGCGTGTTGTTCACGATAAAAATTCGGCACATTTAAAGGAAATATTAAAACTAGAGGGAATCGAAGATTTATAATAACATTTAGGTTTGTGTCTCACGAACGTTGCGTTGACCTAGCGTTGATTACATCAGATGCACGATGGCTGCGAACACGAGTCACTTAACGCACGTCGTAGATGAACACTATCATACGAATAGGTGTAAACCAGAACGGTATAAGTGACATTTTATAAATTCAGAGAAATCTATTTGTTTAAGTAAATATTACTGTAAAGTCGTGGTGCTTCGTTTCATGATTAAAACCACGACATTTCAATTGTTCGTTAATACCACAATACATTGCCTCTGAAATATGGCTTTAAACAAACACGTTTTTCACCCATTCATATGTGAAACGGCTCACGAGCGCTCTTGACGACGTGCGTTGTTTCCAAGGAGCGCCGCCTAGCGGGCGTTGAAAACGCGAGAGCTTGACTTATGTTGCAGCTTGAGCGTTTTGCTAGAGCTGGGGTCACAACGCACGTCACCAAGACCATTCGTGTGCCGTTTTGCGTAAGATACAGTGTTAATCTACGACTCGTGTGTGCAGGCACGGCCGACTAGAGTACTCTTAGTCGGCCATGGCACAGATATCGATGCGCGTCGACACAGCTGATGTTACACGCGGCAGAGGTCACGTAGGCCACAATGTCGAAGCCACCCCCTTCCACGACCACCTACTCCTTGAAGCACCCTGACAAAAGCACTACTATAGACAGAGGTCACGTAGGATACAGTAACGGAGCCACCCCTTCCATGACCGCTGACTCCATGATGAAGGACCCTGACGAATGAGGCACCCTGACGAATGAGGCACCCTAACGAAAGTACTGCTATAGACAGAGGTCACGTAGGCCACGGTGACGGAGCCACCCCGCGAGGGACCATGACTAAACTACCCCCCCCCCGACCTACGAGCCCTAGCTTTTGACTGTAATGACGCCTCATGCCAGCACACGCGGAGTAAGTAACGTACGCACTGGTATTTAAGCTCTGCGCCCATGTCTAAACAAGTCAGATCAGTCACTGTCTCGCTGACGTGTGGTTGCTCGTCACGAGGTGGCCGAGGTCATTCTCGCTTGTAACTTGTAACTGTTTTTCAGTATTTATTAAATATTTGTATACGAATCGAAGTAAGTTATTTCTGAGGAAACCTTCTCCGATCCGTAACAATGTCACCGGCGCGTCGTGTTGGTGACGCGCGTCAACGCAACGCTCGTGTGACACAGACCTAAAGGACTATCTGCATTAAGTGCGAATATCAGTGCTATCTTTTTCATTGACATGCCTATGCCTGTCTCACATGTCTTCTCAGTAACAAGTAATGCACTTCAGCTTCCGGTCACGATCAGGTTTTCGTCCATTTTCCCTGATTCGTTGAGAAAATGCTGAGATGGCCCCTTATTTTGCTTATGGTCATAAATGCCCTTCTATTTTGTTAGTAATAACAAAACAAACAAAAAAACTGCACTTCGTTTACCGATGCAAATAAGTTGTCAGTCAGGAGCGAAATTGTCTAGGTTTCAAAAGTCGCTAACTTTGCATATTTTTTTGTTGAAACTTTTACTCATTATTTAACTATTTATAGTTAAAATGCTGGGAAGAGATCCTGGAGCTCTATGCAGATGGTACTTCCCGCCATATGTCACATACAGTTATTACTATTCTTTGACTAACTATAAAAATCAAATAAATCAAAAGTAAATTTGGTAACATTAGTTCCGGCAAGCAGGTCCAAAAAAGGAACGCGGCAATTTAAAAATATTGAGTTTTTGTTTTATTCGTAAAATTCAATTTCAGTTATGCGTTTTTCTCTTTGGTCGTTTTTTCCATTCAATCCCCTGAAAAAAGTATAAGTACCAAATGTACTATGTCTCAAAGAACCTGCATTGGAAGAAACTGGAGAAGGGGGAATTATTTAAAGCTTATTCCCCTTCAGTATTTTTATATAGAGAATGTAAAATTCATGGAACTAGTGGGAAAAAGAAAGTAAGAAAAAGGAAGAAGAAATGGAAGGGAAAATAAAAAAAATCTCAATAAATTCATGATACATTTGACATTAAAACTAAAATTGGTTGAATTTTGAGAAGGAGTGTTTGTTTCTCCCATTATGAAGTTGAAGTCTGATGGATTAAGAGGTACATTTATGTGAACTTGTGTATTTTTTGTGAGCAAACCCAATTTTAGCAATAACTAATTTTAAATTGTCACTTCATTCTTTTCAGAATTTATTCTTATATGTGTAGTCTTGGAACATATTGATCCAAACTCTGCAGCAAAAAAGAATAAATTGCATGTTATCCCTTTCTTTTGTTATTATCATTCTCATTTACTTTGTCTTACTTTTTCCATGTCTGCCTCTGCTTGCGTCTTCATTTTACTTTTTCTTCCCTTCCCCTTCTTTGATGTTTCCTTTGCTTTCTTCTCTTCTTTTCTCTTCATACATCATGTCACATTGTTTATTCACAAAGTATCGCATCACATTGTCTATTTCTATTTATGGAGCTACCAAAGAGGATAGGATGTATAATTTGATATATGGATATTGATCATACCTACAGAAACAATATCCAGCAAGGCCAAATGCTGCCAAGTCTGCTGCCATCAGCTTACGTTTGAAACGTAAAGCACGAGCTTCTGTTGGCCGGGGTGGATGTCCTCGACCACATGCCTGCAACCACACTGCCAGCACCATGTGAGCTTGGGAGGAAGCCACAAACACAACCAATGATCGCACATGAGCACGATAATTCTCTGCTGAAGATCGCAACGTCAAGCCTGCAAAAATATATCATAAGAAGATTAATTTAATCATAAGTTTATAAATTCTAAGTATTAACATTAAAACTGAAAATAAAAAGAGTTAAATCAAATGAAAATATTAACTATATTCAATGAAAATGTTTTTCTTACTGAAGTTACATTTAATCTGCAATCTCAGTATGGTTCTACAATAAAATTGGTGAATTTTGAAGTTCTATGCAATGTAGTTGAAGATGTAATGCAACCTTTTTTATCTCTGCATTATAAACAGGGAATATGGTGTAAAAAAAAATAGTTTCTGGTATTACCAATTAGTGATGCCACTTCTACCAAGTGAAGGCAGCATGCAGCCCTCCCAGCAGCTTTAGCAGCTTGTCTGAGTACAACTTCATAATACCTGTCAAAATTGCAATGACAGATAACTTTGTTTCCTAAGTTTACATTTCTTGGACATGGCATTATTATGGGAAGCTAGCAATACCCAGCCTTGCTGACAAGCCATTGCTTCACTGTGTGGGTGCTCAGGTTGCAACACATTGATGAGAAAAACATAACAGTCACAAAGCTGTGAGGTAGAAAGGTGGAAGTACTCTGATTCCGAAGTAATCTTTGGAAATATGAATTTAATAAACATAAGTAAACTTAATTAACATTGTATTTTAAACTTTTAATACTCTTCCACAATTCTCCCTCACAAGACATACATGACCAAGCTGAAAATTCAGGAAAAATAAAGCAAGATGAGTGAGAACCAGAGTTTGTCAGATGCAAAGAGAATAAAACAGAAGAAAAATGCAGAATTTTAGCCAAGAGACAACTAACTACAGCTCAGGACTTGGCTCCACAGAACAAGAAGCAATGCACAGCAGAATATTTCATTTAGGCTGACATTGAAAGGCAAAAGAAAGTATTAGCTATACACAATAATACTCAGAGAAATATACATGCACACAGGAAGCAAGTCTAATATTTGTTAGCAAACATTTCAAGAATAGCTTCAGTGACAAGCAGATGATTATTGTCAATCAATTGCAGAGGTGAGGTAATTGATCTCGCAGGATAAATCTGCTCAGCCATGTCCTACTCCAGTGCCCAACACCTCGTACAACCTTTATTTCTGAGCCTAGTCCTGGAGTGCACAGCAGCCATTTTCCCACACCCTAACCGGCGGTGCATTTCAAACACCCACCGATGGTAGCCCCACACAACAAGCAGGCGTGGTCCGGCATGAGCTACCACTGCTAGACGCCAGATGTAGTACTGTGGGTAGACCATCCCCACTGCAGATGAGATAGAAGGCAGTATGTTCTCAACATCACAATGTGTTCGTGTGGTATATTCATGTGCAAAAGCCACTGACCACACTAAACAGAATGCCAACCCGGCCAACGGGAGAGCAGCACTCACGGCAGCAAGGAGTGCCAAAGGCACTCGCAGCCGAGGAAGTATGTGCCTGTCTCTTGGGCTTGAGAGCATGGTGTCAGCCTGCGATTGATAGGACATAATGTTTGCTGACACAATATTTCTCTAATCCTATCACTTAGAAAATGCATTCCAGGGAATAACATGTAGAATTGTAGCATGCGGCTTTAAAAGCTAAAATTCCACCTTTTGCATTTCTTTACATTAATGATGAGGAGATCTTGAATTGTGTTTCTTGGAGCAAACTTAATTATCAAACTCAATGTGACAAAAGGCTCTGCATTTTCTAAGCAGTAACCCAAAATTGAAGAGCTGGCAGAAAAAAGCAAAACATTCCAGTCATACTTTTAAATGAAAATAATGTGAATTGTCTCTAATATTAGCAAATGAAACATTTAGTAAATTTAATTCTTAATTACATTAATTCTTTAAGAGATTGTCCAAGCAAAACTGCTTCAATGTATGTAGTTTGTATGTATTTTATTTACATTTGTGCATTTTACTCCCAGCTCTAATATTTTGTATTGCTATTACCAGTGCATTAATATTATAAATGTTTGTGTTAATTAAAACTCCGAATTCATGAGTTGTTTGTTAATATCCTCAATTAAGAAATATTAAAAATCTTCTAAAAACAACTTAAAAACCCATTAAAAATAAAGTAATAAAAATAGTTTCAAAAACATATTGAAATTCTCTAAAGAGTAATATTTAGACATTCTTAATCAATAATTATCTTTATTTACTGATTTCATTCCCTTGCAGTGATGAACTTTTAAAATAATCTTTAAAGTAATTTTCCTAGATTGTTTCACAAAATAATTTTCATCCTTTGTACATACTAAAGAACAATTAAGCCTAAAAAGGTTTTCACAAAAGCCACATTAATCAAAATGAGTTTTCACAAGAAATTCTATAGACATTTTCAAGTAGAATGAAACACAGTAGATTCGAAACAAAGAAGTGATTGAAAATGAACTGGGCGTATGAATCAATTAGCATTCTTCTTCATTAGCATTCCTCATAAGTTTGCTCAGTGACTTCATAATACTTCTATAAAGCTATCAATTCTTTATCAATAGTTCTCCATTCTCAAATAAATGATAACATTTGCCTTTGTTATTTTAAAATGATCCAATACCTAATTGTACAATCTTATTTGAAAATTCACATATTTAAAATAATTAGGTAAAAATTTAGCAAATGATAAATATCAATAATTTTAAAAAAAGGCATTCAAAAGAATAAATATTGTCATTATTTTCTTATCCATATTTCTTCTATTACATGCAATATCAGATGTAAATGTTTAGGCTATTTTACTCAGTGTTTCTTATTTTTGTGGGGATTAATCAAACATTTTAAGCTTCTCTCATTAAAAGCAACATAATTGTAATAAAACTTCTGAAAGATATACTGCAAAAACAGTTTTTAATAAATATATTATTTAAACAGTACATACCTAAAAATCATTAATCTTGTTCACTATTATCTCCTACTAGAGTGGAAATGATATTTATTTATCTAAGCCAAAAAAAAAAAGAAAGAAAAAAAAACACATAGAAGTTAAAAGATTCACACAACCAGTGAATATTAAGGCCTTTATTGATAGCCAGAACACTTTCTTAACACTTAAATTAAGATTTCATTTAAGCTTTTTAATGCTTATTTCTACTTGTGTATAATGTAGAAGAGCATATAAAATTGGAAAATGGATCTTGTGAATCAAGAGATGTTAAAATTACCATTCTAGATCCTGCAAGAGCAACCCAAGTATGAGCTCTAAAAAGAAAAGTGACAAGCACACAAACAAGCAAACATTCTAATTAACTATAGAAAACACCAACAGACATATACAATACTAGTTTCTTAATGGTGAAAGCTAGGAATGGTAGATGAAATTGAAAATTAACTATCAGCCATTTTTCTAAGTAAATGCTTTTCACAAGCATCTGATTTCTTGTACTGATGACACAATAAAAAATCTAGTGAGCAAAAACTAATTTTATACCTTTTCCATGTACATAGGTTCAATCACCAACTATTCTTGGTATATCAATGGTGAGACAAAATATGTTTGCAATGACAATGATGAACTCTTGCAATAACAGCAATCTGGAAGTAGTATTATAACAATACATTTCAATATTGGAATTCATTACACATTTGAAATAAGAAATTTTAAATATTCTGATAAAATGATAATTACTTTATAAGGATATACTAACTTCATAATTTCCATTATTACAAGCATTTTCCTCAGATTTCCATTTCAGAAATATTTTAATGTGCTTGGTTAAATTGGTGCAGGATTTGAAAAGGACTGAGAGATTAATACACTAAAGATAATTAGGAAGAGTGTGGGGTGGGAAAAAAACAATGGAAAGAGAAGTTAATCTTCATTTATAGCCTGTTCCGAAAAAGTTAATTTTGTACTTTTGGAGCTTAATCAAAAATGTAAAGAAGTAGTTCAGAATTTTAATATAAAAAGATACTCTCATTCTTTCAAGAAAAAAATTCAAAAAAAGAAAATGATGCAGTAGTTAAAGAGTGAACTTAATATAAAACACATAGCAAGAATATGAAATTAATTAGTCGATGAATTGGAAGAAACACTTTTATTACTGCTGTTAATCGTTTTTTACTACTAACGGTATGTCACTTAGAAGAAAAAAGATTTAAAATAATTTTGTAATGTCTAAACTTAAGTGACATTAAACAACACAAGAAATTTAGAGTAATTAGAGTAACATTTTATTACTTACTTGGTTTCTACAGACACTGTAAGGAAAACAGTGATGAATAAGATGTTGATCTTGTAAATTCAATAATAAACTAAACAACTTCTTCTTGTTTCTTTCATGAAACTAATATTCCAGAAATGTCAACCACTCATTAAATTCACTCTCTCTTGGAAATTTATATCAGTTTAAGAATGGGTCAAAACTTTTACTAACATATGTACAATTTTTCAATTCAGTTTGTCAACAGTACTTAATTTCTTACCTTTTGGTGAGAATATACTTGTATATTTCATCAAGATAATAAAGAGATACATTCAGCAAATGTACAGTGTAAAAATTATAACATATCAAGCAGATAAATGTGAAAATATTTTTTAAAATTTCATTTTACAAAAAATAGTTTTTTTTAAACACTTTTATGATGACTAGCAATTACGTGCAAAATAACAGACTTTTAGAGTATGCTAAATTGGTAAATTTTAATGTTAATCAGAGAAATATTGACTATACTTGCACCTAGAGTGCAAACATAATTGTATCCCTCAATTTCAATTGGCTCGGTACGTAATTCTGCAAAATTTGCATAATTATCACAACCACTTTGCAAATATACGTAATTCGATCATGGACAGAATTGTTCAAGCGGTGCAATTGCTTTCAAATTCCGCGCGTGCTGGTCGCACCATTGAAGATTCACTTTTTGACCATATACCTGTAAACCTTTATAAATGTAAAAAACTCGTAAATGAGGAGCTGCCTTCCGCGAACGGAAGGCGAGCTGTCATTGTCTTATCGCATTTCGGAACCCATTTCTGACATGCTAGGCGATTGTGTGACACCCTCCTGAGCAACTACTAGTCACGTCACCGCTGTCACTACGGCACCTCGTCGCACGGCACTGCATTGCGCGTGTTTCACATCGCAACTGTACGCGCTGGATCGATAACACGCGGAAACCGAAAACACGTTGCAAGGGGCAGCAGAAGCATAATGATTTCCCTATGGTACCATTTTCCTCGGTTTAAAACTGCGGCTTTCGCGTTGGATTCTCTTATTGATACTCATTTTGCACTTCTGTTCTTGTCTAGTAGGTCGACATAAATTTCAAACGCGTAACTTGTTTGTTATCGCTCACTCACTGTTACGTTACACAAATGAGAAATATTTCATGGTCTTTTTGTTGCGACAGATCTCGTTCTAGCGAACAAAATTATTACACCATAAAAACATTTAAAAATTAAAAGTTACATTTGCGCAGTGTGTTGTGCAGGTGACGTTGCTGCACTGGAAGACTCGCGGCGTGACCGAGTTGATTAACGACGATGAATTTTATGAAGAAAACGGGACTATGAGAGCGAAGATCAGAGGGAAATATGTTATTATATGCAAACGTGTGGAAGAGCAAAAAGTTCCTTGCGGTCATGCTACACTCTCAAGAATTCAATCTCACGAGTAGAGTACGGATATCAGGCCCTAAAACAAAACAGCCAGGCAAAATGTCACTAGAAATATTAAAAATGAGCTAAAAATACACACTTGCCAAACACTAACTGATTGCCAAACAAATGCTAACATTCTTCGAAAACAAGTCTCTCGAGAACGCAGTCTATTTGAAATGTATATATTATACAAATATAATGCTAAATATATGTCACGCTTTTTTGTTTTTAAGGGTCAATTTCTTTGCGCTTCCTTTTTACTTCACATTTTATAGAAGAATAAGCGATAAATAGTAACATGTTTACCAAGTTATAGAAAATGTTGGTTAGTAAAATTACGGTCCACGTAATGCCGAAGTGTTTTGTACATCACGAGGGAAGGAAAACAAACTAAAGAATATTTTTTCAAAATTTAATGAATGAAGTAATCAATATAAACCAAGTCGGCGTAGCAAATGTAGCACACGAAGTGGTTGATGCCCTGAATTTTGTTTGATTTCAATAAAATATTTTTAAATATCTTTGTATTTGTCGTGATTTTTCGTTTTTAAATAAAAGTGTGAATTGGGCATTATTTTTCGCTGCGTGTGATGAAGCTAATTTATTGCAACTTTGGGACGTGTTATTAACTTCTTTCTCCTTCTTCTCCTTTTTCTTCTTCTTCTTCTTCTTCTTCTTCTTCTTCTTCTTCTTCTTCTTCTTCTTCTATTCTTCGTCATGTTGTTAGAGAAGAATAACATGATCTAGTGGAACGAAAGAAAATTATTCGCACTTCACTCGAGGCAAAATCAGAGAGTTATTTGGTGGCCGAGAACCAAAAATCCTTGATCTCTGACGTCCTTATTGTCACGCTGCCAGCTGTACGCAAGTGTAAGTGTGGAAGAGCAATGAACAGAAGAGAATGTGCTATTTATTACGTAACGCTATCGCCCTTGTTTAGTCTCTTCGGCCAACGCGTTCATTACCGCAATTGGTCTTTTTCATGACGACGAAATCTTATACCTCGGACCTTGCTGCTTTCTCGTGTACGTAGAAGTTATGAATAATACTGCGAATATCGTTCTAGAGGTTTAGACAGAATTACACATTTTGGGAGTCCCTAATTCCGAAACGTGTTATTTTTTTCCCTAAAAATTTCAGTCGTGGAAAAGGAGCGTCTAATGCCTTTACAGGATTTTCTCCAAAACGGATATTCCCCGATCGATCTGGCGGCACTCGTCACTTTGTAGGAATGTCAACATTTCACTGCCTGTGAATGTCCTATCGTTGCTAAAATTAGAAGAACTTTGTAGTCCGACTCACAATGCACTTCCTGGATCAGAAACACTTTGAATTGTCTATTTTACTCACATAAATACTAGCGCAAAGATAGTATTCTAATGCCAACATACCGTTGACCCTTTACATTCTTAAAAGCTTGTATATGTTGGTCTCTGTCAAAACACAAATAGAAAACTTCCATACAATATTTTTCTTAAACTAAACAATTTTCGCAGAATAAAAGCTTGTATGTTAAAACTTCAAATTCCTTTTTAGTAGGAAATTAAAATTATACCGGTCTTAAACTTTAGAATTTTCATTTAAAGTAGTAGACACAGTTTGGTTGATCCGATTCAAAGTTATTTAAAAAGTATATAAATGTGCGACAGAATCTGAGTAATTTACTGTACTGAAATTTATTGTTTGATGTGAGATGTAACTTCTCTCATTAAAAAAAAAAAAAAAAAAAAAAAAAAACGACCGATTGCGCTGAAATTTTCACACTCGTTCTTATTAGTAATTTGAATGTTTAAGGTTTGAATTTAATCGGACATGAGGGGGCGTTGTTGATTTATTCGTTTATGACGTCTCAAGCGCCCCTGAACTCTACGCAACCCGCCGCACAGTCAAAGATTTAAGCACGTTTTCACTACAGACAAGTATTTCGTGACGTGTCCCTCGCGATTGTGAAACATCGGCCGGAATTATTACTTTAATCTAGGTCAAATTAATTAAATTTCTCCAAGATAGTGTCCTAGCAAACGCATGTCCAGATTTGAAGGAGAATTTTTTAACAGGAAACTTGACAATCATCTCAAAACCAGGACATAGTACAAACGCATACTTGCGAGAGTTTTTCATCTATTAGAATTTTTGCACAGCATAGCGTAAACTGTAAATAAAAATCACATTACTAGTAGTGTGTAACGTGTAATACACTGTAATAGCGTAGCATTGCCGAATCCACTAGTTGAATATAAAAGGTTGTGCCCGTATCTGAAAGGACACTTATTCTGTATTGTAGAGCTTTTGTTTATTTCATTATTGTTCTCTTAGGTGAATCATTGGGACATCGGAAGAATGTACTATGTAAAAGAAGAACCTATATTATGTAATTAGCTTATAAGGTTAAGCTTTATTGCATAAGTAATTGTTTTGAAAATGAGCGAAGTTAGGAGCTCGTTTTCAAATTTGTACGAATGCAATAGCGCAACATTATAAACGGATTGCATACGCTATTTTTTTATAGAACAGTATTATAAATGCACGAGAGAATCAAAGTTAATTTTTTGAAACCATTTTTGTTGTGACATCACAATTATTTGACATCTGTGAAAGAAAACAGTGGCCAGCTTTTTAATAAACCGCTACCTCTCCACGATTCTCTTGCTGCTATTAGCTGAATGTGGGATGACACAATTATTCGTGCCACAAACGGTAAAACTTCATCATCTGTACCGTAAGATATAATTTTAATGAAAGATTTCTTTTATCGAAAAAGGTCGTTTATAATGCTGGAATACAAACAAGTTTTTATTTTCTGGCTTACGCAATGTAAGAAAAATATTGTAATACTGCGGGGGGGGGGGGAAACGACGATTTATCAGCTGAAAACCCATTATTGCTGGGTCCTGGTGACGAAAAGTTGTTACATCTTGTTCATACAGTAAAATACTTCATCTAACATGTTGTTTAGTCAGAATCCAGGTTTTGTGCGTCCTTGATACTGAAAAATTAATTTACAGCGAAACATTTGTCTGTCTCTAAGGCTAGTGCCTACACTGTTAAGACGATATTCCCCCATCGATCTGAACAAACTCGAGACCCTGCGAGTTCGAAACGCATATTTTGGTTTTTAGGGAGTACTTTACATGAATCCTCAATTACAGTTTCAAAATTTTCCCTAAAATGTCTGTAAATTGTGTTATTAAACTTTGTCCTCGGATAGTGGAAAAAGCGGTTAAAAAACTGGCTCAGGTCTAACTTTCGTTAAAACCCCAGATTTTTCGAAAATTGCAAATGATAAAAACAATTTCAGCGAAAAAAGAGATTTTCCTTAATAAACAGTTTTTCAATGACATCTTGAAATAAGGTCTTGTAAAATGATTCAAAAATATGAGTAGTTGTGGCGTAATTTTCGCATTGCCATTTTCTCACATTGCACCCTACGTTGCCTGGCATTCATATAGATGTATTTGTGTTTGTATTATGATCATAAGATTTAGAATGTACTAGAGCTTGTGATGTGAGTGAAAAGTTTCTTCTTATGGGAGGTCTTTATGAAGAGTTCTGCAAATTACTATTTCCTTGTTAATGAAAACGATTGATTCACTTAAAATGTTGGAAGATTGTTCATATTAAGCTTTATTGTTAGCCTTTAGAAGTCAAAACATGCGTTTAGATTAATGAGATAGTCATAGTTTAATTGGGAGAATGAAACCTTCCCCTGAAACATGCGAACAATTTTTTCAAAGAAATGAATTGTGTGAAGATGAGACTTTTGTTTTAATGAATGTAACTGATTCCTATTTACACTTAGGTAATTTGGTTGTAGTTTTGGTACTTTTGAAGGGAAAAATTTGAACAGAAGTGTACAAACCGATAAAAAAGTAGGTAAAAACATTATGCCGTAACGAAGGTGAACTGGGTTAAAATTTTCTCATATTCACAAGTAAACACAATTTTCAAAGTTGTGTATTTTTCAGCTTTAATGTGATTTTTTGTTGTGAATATTTCTGCTTGGACATGTAATTATACAATATGTTGAATGTAGATTTACGATTTGAACGGACGATGCGAAAGAAAGAAAGATAAAGTATCTACATGATACTTGTGGAGAATGTTTATGGTGCAGATAGACTGTTATGCAATTTATGTTATCGACACATTTTATGTGTATTTTACAAAACGCTGTTTGCTGCATCCACACAATCAGTGTGTCCCACCAAGTATGGGCCCCATAACTTCTACACGGTTCACGATATCGAAATGCAGTTGTCGCTGAGCAGTGCAGAATCATGGGGCAAGTAATATGCCGCATAGACATTGATAAACTAATTTTTGAGAAATTCATTCATCTTTGATTTTTTAAATGTGCTATATATTTTTCTCATTAGCAATGGATACAAGGAGCTTCAATCCTCGCCAGAGACATTTCCCATACGTAATGTGCAAACTGATGTTTGCCAAAATTGGATAATCTTTATTTAGTTT